AAGGCCGGCCGTCAAAAATAGAAAACAAAGTAAAACACTATGCCACGCTAAAGCTCCAGCCTCCTTTGGGAATGAAGTGTAAGGTGTCCTGGTTAGTTTTGATTGATCACCCTCTTTCTGATGGCCTTTCACTACCGAGCTGGGAGACTGCAGCTTGCGGCCAGCTCCCCAGACGCGGCCTTAACCAGGGGGGCCCCGACTTCCTGCCACTTCTTCATCCCCTGCCTCCTTCTTCTCCAGCTCTCTGCCCTCCCTTTGCCAAGCCCCCCTCCCTCACTCCATCCCCCTGCTCCCAGCAGGAATCCCTCACCCCAATCCCAGGCAGGCACACGTAGTTCAACACATCAGCATTGGCTACAGAAAAGGGGTTTCTTTCCCTCTAGTCCTGATTCTCTAGAAAAAAGAAACCCCAAAGCAAGAAATATTTATAATACTGTGTGCTTCATCATCACTTCTTTTTCTAGGGCCTTTATATTTCCCTGACAATCAACAATTAAAATTAATAGCACTCTCCTCCTCCCCAGAAAAAAAAAAAAAAAAGTGAAGTGTCTTGCCGTGGGGAGCTTTGGAATGAGGCCATCGTTTTATGTAATATTTTAGCAGGGTTGGGTTTTTTTAACTCTCCCCCCAACACTCTTTCCCTTCCTTCCTTCAAAACAGTTGCCCTCTCTTGTCCCAAGCACTGGAAACAAGCTCCCAAACCTACAAGAGCATAAATAAACCGGAAAGGAGGGGCAGAGAAGAGAAAGCAAGGAAAGAAAATGAAAAACACTTACCGAGCAAACTTCCAAGGTTAGATTTTAAAATAAATGAAGATGTTTCATTTAAAAAAATAATAATAAGGTGACTGGGGTGGGGGGAGGCATATTCTCAACTCCCCAGAAGCGGTGCTTCCTTAGTCTTGCCTTTCCAGCGACTCCTCTAAGCCCAGCTCTCCACTAGTCTATTATTTTCACCAAAATATATGAAAATGTATGCAAATGAAAATCAGCACTAACTGTTCTCCCCTTGTTATATACTTTGGATTTTTTTTTTCCAGACAAAACAATCACACTCGGCAAAGGGAGGGGACGGATGGGTGGGGCTGGGGAGCGACTGGAGAACTAAGTACGCGAAGGGGGAGGACGAAGGGGACAGAGCTCGGAACAGAAGCGTATTTCTGATTTCGAGGAGCAAGGCGTTTTGGGGGGCTTCCCGTACGCGCACACACACCCTCCTTGAAAAGAAAGAAAGTGGATGTGTGTAAAGTGGATAGCAGAAGCGTTATCACGTTTCATCAGGCCACCTGAGACTGCTTTTGAAAGCGTGTACTGTGAAATTCATAGCAGTAATTTAGACAAAATCCTCACTGTATATTAATGAAAGGGGCCCCATGGCTCTGTTCCTAACCTCCCCATTCAGTGTAAACAAAACCACGAGACTCTCTCGGTTTTTGAGCCGAATCCAAGCAAAATCGGCAGGAAAGGAAAACATGGGGTGCTGGCACCGACTATTCAAACGTCTGCACCTGGAGATCTCAGATTTATTCAATGAAATCTGTGTTCCATCTTTCATATAGACATGTACGCATACATAAATATAAAAAGGAACCTTAGGGGGACGCACAGGGAAAAATCCGTTCTGTCTGGGGTTTGGTTACCGCCGCCGTTCAGGTCTATACCTTCGCAATAATGGAATCACTAAAACCTACCTACGAGGGCATCTCTCCCCCCCGCCCGGCACGCAGGAGCTGGACCAGATCCTACACAAATGCTACGCGCCCACTGTTCATCTCGAGATCTCGCAAGGGCTGCGTGTCTGCGACTGGGCTGGAGAGCTCCGGCTCTGAGTACCCCTAACTGCGCTCAGGAGAGGAATTATTCGCGGGAGAAGGGCAGCCCCGAGCACCCCGGCGGCTCCCCGTCTGCGTCCGGGGCGGCGGGCAGGGCCGGCGCAGCGCGGCCGGGTGCGGGGTGCAAGCACACGCACACTCATTAGGGACGATGTATTTACTGAATGTCCGAGTCGGGTTAGTTCATTGGAAATCCCCGAGGAGGGTTCAATTTGCCCTTGTTTTCGTGGCCACTTTCTCTTTTTTCTTGGTTCGCTGAGGCTCCTCTGTGCAGCGTTTCCGCTCGGCCGCTTCCCCCCACCCCCTCTTCTCCCGCCCACCCCGCGCGCTCCCCCTCCCGGCCCCCTTAACTCTTTCCGCCGGGTTGGGCTGAGAACGCGCTCAGCGCCGCCCGCCGCAGACCCTCCGAGGCCGGAGAGAAAGAGAAAGCCCCAGCGTGCCCAAGAATACCGAGCAGGCGAAACACCGCTAATAACGACCGCACCGAAATAAAGAAATACACACACGCACCCGCACACAGTGTGAGCGGTGGAGGGCGCGGCGGGCGGATCCGCTTCCTTAGGCCGCTCCCGCTGCTGCAGGCTTCCCGACGCCTTTGGGGGTCGGGGGGGGGATCGGGGGGGGTCGGGGGGAGACACACTAACGGTGTGTCTAGGGGGAAGGTCGGCCGAGCGCTCCGCCGCCTGGCACCCCGGGACTCGCAAGGGCACGCGCGATCCTCGCCGGAATCCCGGCGGAGGGGGCGGGGGAAGGGAGAGGCGGGGGTGGGGAGCGCGCTGCAGCCTGCGGTCCTTCTCGCACGCGCGGGCCCGGCGCTGGTCCCGGGCTGCAGGTTTCCCAGACTATGGCATCCGAGAACTTAAACAAAGGGGGCGGCTGCCGGCGCGAAGCGGCTGCGGAAAGTTGCGGTGGCGGATTTCCAAGGAGCGCGGCCGCTACCCGGGCTCTCGGCGCCGCCAGCTCCCCCTTCCCACCCCCGCCGAGGCGGGGACGGGGGCCGGCTGGTGGAGGAGCAAGGAAACTTTGAAACCACTGGGGACACATCTGCCTATAGGTATTGACGTGAATGGCACATCCGTGCCGGGCGCGTTATCGATCTCTGGGATGGGGTGGGGGGCGGGGAGGACGGCAGCACAACGCGGTACCAGGTGGAGTGGGTAGGTTGCTATTTTTCACGATTTTCCCCTCTACGTTCTCCTTCGGACCCCCGCACGCCCCCCGCCTCCTTTCCCTTTCTTCCCTCCCCCTCCCCCCCCCCCTCCCCCTCCCCCTCCCCCTCCCAGACCTATTGAGATGCCCAGAGCCACGGAGGGAAAGCCTATGTCTCGGCCGGACACTAAGAGTTAAGATGTGGCGGAGGGGGTGGCGGAGGAGGGGCGGGGAGGAGAAAGTGGCGAACCGGAGGGAGGAGGCGGGGGGAGGGGGGGACGACAGATTTCCAGCTTCTACGACGCTCTGCCTAAATTAAAAAGCAACCAATCGGAACGGCCGGAAGGGGGGCCGCGCGTCCTGAGCCAGTCATTCCGGACCTGCCAATCACCCAGCGGGTAGCCAATCAGCGGGGGCCCTGGTGCTCGACTTCCTTGTATTTGGGAAAGTGCAGTGGTGGGTGCGCGCTCGCGGCGGAGGGTAAACATTCGACAGTCCCCGCTCGGAGAGGGAGGGACAGAGAGCGAACTGTCAGATCCGAGCGGGCGGGCGAGAGGGCGAGAGAGCGAGAGCGAGAGCGAGAGCGAGGGAGGGAGGGAGAGGGGAAGAGAGAGGGAGAGCGCGCGAACCAGGGCGCAGAGCGAGCTCCCGCGGCAACTCCGCTCCGGCACGGCCAGCGCCAGCGCCGTCGGGGCAGCCTCCGAGCCGTGCGTCGTGCCACTGGAGTTGGTTGTGTATCAAGGATCCCCTATATGCACACACACATCTCCACCTCCACCAGTGCACTCTTCTTCCTCCTCCTTCAGACCTCTGCTGGGAAAAAAATAAAACACCAACCCCAACCATCAGCAGCAAGGTAACCGAGAAACTCGACCTCCTTTTTCTCCTGTTCAATTTTTTTCCTTGTTATATTTGTCTCCTAATTTCTACCCAAAAGGAAAGATGTCGCATCAGACTGTGACTGTTGCGAGGAGAATGAAAAAGGACTGTTGTTTCAGAAGCAACCACGAGCTCCGGCAATAGCAACTTCAGAGAAATGCACCAGCGCCAGAAGTTTTCCTAGGACAGAACAAAACTTGAAACGAGAGGACCGGAGGGGGAGAGCAGGAGCCAGCCTCTCCTCTCCGCACGCGAGCAGCCAGCATCACCACGCCTTCAAGGACAAAAAAAAGTTTTACTACTCCAAGGGGAGACGAGTGAGCTGCGTTCCTGAGGAGGCGGCGAGGAGCGGCCGGTCGCCGGTCGTCCACGGTTTGGTCCAGAAGAAAGGAACGGCTGCTTTCTTTGTTGCCTCCAGCGAAACCTCCACTTAGCAGGTGGACCGAGCCCCGCGCCCCGGCAGAGTCTGCGCTCGCCCGAGGACAGGAGGAGGAGCGCGAGCCGGCGCGCCCGGCCAGGAGCCCCGGCGCAGGCCCGCGCCCCGCCCGGCGAGCCCCGCTGGAGCAAGCCGATCGCGCCGGGGCTGGGGGGCGGCCACGACCCCCCCTGAGGGGGGCGGCCACGGAGCGCGCCCCGCCGAGAAGCGAGCCCCCCTCCCCGGAGCGCGGCTCCTGCGGCGGCGGCTGCGGCGGCGGCGGCTGCTGACCAAGGCCGGCCGGCGACCCCCGCGCCCTGCCCA